TAGTATATATATATATATATATATATATATAATTATTATGCATGTACGTAATGATAAAATTTATTTTCATAAATTTATTAAAATATTTGAAAGTATAATTATTGTGTGTGTGTATGTATGTCTGGAAAGATATAAATTTATCTGGAGAAAGTTTTATTTAATTAAACAAACATCTGATAGAAAAAGCGATAAGCAAATGCGGAAATATATTTTGCATTTCGCTAAGAAAATCCTAAATTATTATGATTCACATGTATATCATGACTCATATTGTTATCATAAATTATAACCGTTAGTTCATACAACATATTTAGCATCATGTCTGAGCGATCTGAATGTTATGACTAAGAAATTGTAATCAAGTTGATTTCGAAGTATTCGAAGTATCATTTTTAATTCAAATTCTAATTTTTAAATTTAAAAACTCTATATTTATTATTGTATTTAGTACAACTTGAATTAATTAAATAAATTATAATTGTATAATTTAAAGTATATTTTTTCGCGCGAGAAAAGATACATTTAAAACATGCATTTCTTCTTGCGTAAAAATATATTTTAACTTATATAATTTAATTTACATTCAATAGAATTATTTAGAAAGAAACACAGAGGCAAATTTCGAAATTCCGAAGAAAGGTGACCCGGATATTTTGAGTACATTATAACACGCTGTTTACACACCGCAAACACGTCTTATCTCGTTCTCTGTAATTATTACCAAGAGTACATGATTCGAAGTCACGTTGATGAGTCTCGCGAGAGAAAATGCCGCGATGAGTCTTTACAATCACCATGTATTACGAAGCAAGCATGCGTTTTGTGATTAGTGATTAGCAAAATCGATAGTCGATAGTCGTGCGAAAGATGATGCACACTTACCGATCTTGTCGCTCGCCAGACTGTTCGCCAGATCGATCGCCAACGCGATCGTGCACAGGATCACGCACGTTCTCATGCCGGCTGATGGCTACTCCTTTCTCTTGTCTGAAGACGAAAGTTCGACGTCAATCGCGTCGTTTACTTTTCCTGTTATGTTCCTGGCTTATCTGTGAACGGTCCGGTCAGTTTCGGAAATCCGGTCTGTGATCGAGCGATCGGTTTGTGATCAAGCGTGATCGGCACCACGCGCGCGACTGGTGAACGTGAATCCGGAGCGCCGAGTATACGAAGACCTCCTCGTCTCTTACACCCCGCGACCGATCTCTCGCAAACACATTTCTGTTGTGTTCGTCCCTCTCTGTCCCTCCCTGTCCTCTCCCACTACGGCATTAATTTTCTCCCGACTCCGAAAGGATCGGAGCACTGATGAATCCGATCGGCAGTTTCGCGTGCCATGCTAATGATCGCGGGGTAAAAGTGTATTTAAATTTCAAATCGTAGATGACCATACCTTTTTGTCATATAAATTTAATCGTAAATTTAAATTTTGTATTTGTAATTTAAATTTATTTTATATGAATTAAGTCATTACACTGAGAAGAAGATATTTACGAATTTATTTGCGGGAGATAAGGTTTATTTAAATATAGTAAAATAAAATTTTATTCATATATAGCAAATGAATTACAAGCAGTAAGAAGAATTAAATATGAGAAGTATAAGGAAATATGCATTTCATAAAACATATTTTATCATCACAGTCAAATTGTTTATAATCAACAAATATCGAAGAAAATACACAAGTTAAGTATTTGTTTCTAGATATTTCAACTTTTTTTCTCAGTGTATTCTTATATCTCATTAGTTGTATTGACTTCAATTCCTTCATAAACGCCGTTAAGTTTATACGACATGAAGATTCTTAAAAGAAATTCGCAACATTGGTTTTTGAACAGAAATACAAAGCAAGAGCGATGATTTACATGAATTATCGTTTATTAACAGAAGTGCAACATTTCTAAATTTTTTAACATATACTCTAATTTTTTTTTCTTACAAGAATTTAACTGTTATGTGCAAATACTTCGTAACATTTCTATTTATATTTCATGAAAATTCCGCGTTCTTTGTAACAAATACAAGATCCTGTCATGTGTTTCGTTTTTTTTTTTTGTAATCGCAGTTTAGCTTCGTCCTCCACGTTTTATTCGTTTGTTACATCATCCGTTTTATTTTACGCGTTCATTAATTCGTTTACTTCACCATTCCCAGACTCTATCCCTCAATCAATTTCAATTCTTATAAACCAGATGAAACTAGATTTAAACAAAACTATAAACTTCCCACACTTCGTGATCGTCGTATTGTTAATCAAAAGTAGAGTAGATAATAATCGCAAGAGTTTATTGCAATCGTACCGATATCTCACCACACATTTTATATATTATATATAAATGTTGGCGTTATGTGCAAATATCATATTCACATTGTTTATAGCGATCCACGTTAAGTAAGATATTCATCGTTAAGTAAGATATTCACACGAGTATTTGTCACATTTCCCTCATTTTCTCGTAATTTCCTAGCGTGCGTTTAACGCTCGTTGCATTCTACCGTCAGCGAGATAAATGCGATTTGCGGTGAATTAAACGAGATGCGTAAAGTATCGCGCGAGAATGTAAGTGAGAGTGTAAGGTCACGTTTCACATAGTAACCATAATGATAAATGAAGAGACGCGCGGTAACTCGATGAGGTTGAATTAGCAGAATTATTGCCGTCACGGCACGAACTTTCGTTGAATGGACGCTTGGTCAATCGTCTTAACACATAATTAAACAAAGTACGATAATCGTATTATGTCATTGGTTCATCGTTCGAATGTTCTTTTTTCTATTTCATCGATTGCTATTCATTGATATTCACTTATGATAAAGCCGAAAAAATGAAACACTCCTCCCTAAATTATTGAAAAAAGGCTCAAAATATGATATATTAAAATAATAATTTTATTATAGCAACATTGCGTATATAAGACATCTAATGACAGGTGGCACAAAAAGGTGTTCATCGCCATACCGCGAATTCGCGAAATCGATGACAGGGCATTATCATTTTACAATATCGAAAAATGACGACGCGCGTGGCATTACAGTGTCTTTCTGATGAGTTTTTTGCTACGGTTTCGAATATATTCATAACTCGAATTGTACTTCTTTTTGACTACAAATAATTGGAATATGTGAGAGAGGCT